ATTGCTGAAATAGAGGGAGTACAGAGAACATATACGGCACACATTGACGCGATAAAGCGCCTAAATTATTGGGATCGTCTCAAAAGTTCTCCGAATGTACTCACTAGAAAGGAGACGAGAGAGATACCAAATAATATACACCTGGAAAATACTGGAGGGCCAGGTCCCAAATCTACACAGTAAAATAACAACATACTGGAGTGAACGATATGGAAGAAAATGCAGGATAGAACCAGTGAAAAACAGAGGTGCCATAGGCACAATCAGAGAACACTGTATAAACATCAGAGGTCCGCGGTTGTTCAACGTCCTCCCAGCGAGCATCAGAAATATTGCCGGAACAACCGTGAACATCTTCAAGAGAAAACTAGATAGTTTTCTTCAAGAAGTTCCTGACCAACCGGGCTGTGGTTAGTATGTGGGCCTGCGGGCCGCTCCAAGCAACAGCCTGGTGGACCAAACTCTCACAAACCCATCAAGCAGGTACAGTTTCTGCTTTTCCTGGTGACGCCAATAAAGTTAGAACGAATAAACAAATACAATAACAGAACGAAAAAGTAGGATGACGATAGAAAGAGAAAGAAGAGAGGAAAGAGGTGAACGGAGAAAGAACACACAAGGTGGAAGAATGGAGCAGACGAAAAGAGGAGAGAGGAAGTAAAGAGAAGACAGAATGGGTGGAAGGAAGAGTATCAAAGGCAGAATATAACGGCATAAATAGACAAAGATGAGCAGAAAAATAGGAGGAGGAAGAGGAGGAGAAGAAGGAGAAGAAGATTACAATATCCGGGAGGCGCCAGCGACTGCTCTCCTCCCCTCCACATCCACATTTTTAAAGCATGAGTCGACCTTCCGTGCCTCAGTTTCTCAGTAAGATGAACAATTTCATTAAATGCAGAAAACTACCTCTTATCACAAGCCACAGTTCCCAGTGTGATTACCGGGACACTTCATTTTAGACACTGAATTTGGCCATTCTTTACCTTTACCTAAGGCGACGTCCTCATATCGGACACAGACAAGGACAGACTATATAGTACTCAATCATCCTTTGCAGTTGACATTAGGATTTTCATGAGAGTAGACAACGTAGAGGACACGGCAAACCTCCAATCAGATGTAAATCAGGTCTTTCTATGGTCTCCTTTCTATGGAGGGAGCCGGTCGACCGAGCGGACAGCACACTGGACTTGTGATCCTGTAGTCCTGGGTTCGATCGCAGGCGCCGGCGAGAAACAATGGGCAGAGTTTCTTTCACCCTATGGCCCTGTTACCTAGCAGTAAAATAGGTACCTGGGTGTTAGTCAGCTGTCACGGGCTGCTTCCTGGGGGTGGAGGCCTGGTCGAGGACCGGGCCGCGGGGACGTTGAGCCCACAAATCATCACAGGTAAGGCTGCCACGTGGCAAAAGGAAAAAAAAAAGCTCAGATTAGATTTTGAGTTTGGAATTTGGATTTCTGGGTGATAGGCATCATCCAGCGTGATGCCTTAACTACCAAGAGACGAAATGTACAGAGGCGCATAGACGTTACCTTGAGGTGCTTCCGGGGCTTAGCGTCCCCGCGGCCCGGTCGTCGACCAGGCCTCCTGGTTGCTGGACTGATCAACCAGGCTGTTAGACCCAAAATTCAATTTAATATTTCCAGCGTTTGTTGATATAATTCAAGTAGACGGCGGGGTACAGGGAGGAAAGTGACTACAGATAAACAGAACAAGGTACCGACATACACTTTCCTTAAGACACGTTCCCTCCGCTTCGCCAGGTGTAAAGGGGAATAATGCGAAGAGGGAATAAAATAACGAAATATAATAAAAAAGGAAGGAAGGTCCTTGGGAGCGGTGATTGACAGCGTACACGAGACGGTAATTGGCTCACCGGTTTCACCTGCCGATCCTTGCCCTCCGCCTCAATGGCAATCTGGAATGCAACTTAGAAAATGGAATCCCTTGAATTCTGAGTGGCAGCCAAAGAAGCAGCCGCAGTTACCCTTATTATTCAAATCCATCGTAAAAGAGGATTTCCTCGTGGTTTGGCCAGAGAGGCGTCTCAGGCTGGGGATCGAACCGTGGGACATTGGGCCATCTGGACGCCTAAGGCAAGGTCGAGGTTTGTGTTGAGGGGAAGAGGCAGGCCAGACTGGTGGGGTTGGGAGAGGGGGGTGGGGGAAGGAAAAAGGGGGGGGAGGGAATAAGAGGGGACACGGGGCGTGGCTTCCTCCTCTTCCCCCTTTAATACCCGCCCTTTGTGTTGAATATTGTGGTCACGACACAGGCTCAGGAGGGCCATACCATTCCTTCCAGGAGCACCCTAACCAGTCCCTTCCCATCCTAGACCCTCTTTCCCGTCTCTCATCCACATGATCTTTTCCACCTCATTCAGACGACGACGTTTCGGTCCATCCTGGACCATTCTCAAGTCGATTGTCTTGAGAATTGAGATTGAGAATTCTCAATCGACTTGAGAATGGTCCAGGACGGACCGAAACGTCGTCGTCCCTTC